GTGAAGGATGAAAAAAAGTCCACGGTGAGTCATTAGCCTCCATCATCAGTGTGTTGATGAGATCGACGGAGGTATTTGTTTAACTAAACAATGGGATGTAATGGTTTTAAATATTTCCCGTGTTATGTAAAACAGATTAAGGAACTTAATTATTTTCTAATGTTGTAGTAAGAACACCGCAAGTTCTTTTATAACTCATTCCAGCAACATTCGCACACTAATCACCAAAGAAAAAAAATTGACAATAGTTATAGTGAACTATATCACTCCTAGTAGAAGACTCGAACAGAGCATTGTGCAATTTGTGCAATTTTTATGAAAAAAATATCGTCGTTTTTAACATCTGAAAAATGTGAAATGTGTGGAATTTTATTAATAGTCTCTCTCAAATTACAGTACATTGGGTTCATCACTTTGAACTTGCATACATAATTTTGTGCCTTGCTTCCCTCGGTATTTCGAAAGTACATATGCGGTCACCAACTCTGATCGTTTTTACAATGGAACCGTGCTTCTCAGACCACCTAATATTGTTTTTAACTGTTTTGAAACTGAAACAAGAGGGGAGAAGAACCATTCAAAAGAATCCAATACAAATTTATAGAGTAAGTGAATACAGAGGACGCATTATTTTTGAAGCTGATATATTGTTACAGGAACTTGCAAGTGTAGTAAACTTTTTTCCCTGAGAATGTCGAGATGGGTCAAAGCTTGAAAGTCTGTGGTCTTCAACCTTAGAAACATTGACAAGGCCATTAACAGTAATAGTCCTAAAGTTAGGGAATAAAATATAGTTTCCAAGGTTACGACCTTTGGAGACAAACTTTTTACCTGGTAATGATACGTTAGCTTGTAAAGAAAGACGCAAACCAAATTCTGGAATTTTAATTCCCAAGTAAAGAAATGTTGATATGAAAATTGAATGAACTGAGTTTAAGAAACTATAAAATTGAAGTTTCAAAGTAGAGAAATGTTGATATGAAATTTCAATGAACCGAGATTACAAAACTAAAAAAATTAAGGTTTCGTAAGGGATGTTTCTCTTGTAACGGTTATGGCGACGTAGCAGTACATATGTGGCAACCTGGAAAAAACAATCATCATCATCAGCACCATGGAATCTCCAAAAGGAGCGGAAAACCAACACACTAAATCACAAATAAACTACCAAGGTTCGTCTAATTTCTTCAATCTTTTGGTAATGTACGAAAATGCAATAAAGCACAGTGAAAGAGCAGATGATTCAGAGCAGCTAACCTCATTTCCATTTAGGGCTTGATCTGAAGAATGCTTTAGTACGCTCAACACAAGCTGGATGATAATCCGTTGGACATCCCCTGACATATTAAGAAAGGCAAAAATCAATCATAACAACAAAAAATTTA